CCTCCTCCTCCTCCTCCTCCTCCTCCTCCTCCTCTGAGTATCGACCCCCCCATGGCGCAACGCCCGACCACTGCCCGAGGGTGCGCCTCTGGGATTTTGCCGCGGCCGCTCCAGCAGGGCGTGCCGTGCGTCTGCGCTGGCCACTCCGCCGGCAGGCGACCACCGACCGCGGCCGGCGCCGCGGCTGGGCTACCTGTGCGCAGCAAGGCCGGAGGGCGGGTGGGACGACGAGGAAGAAAAGAAGGGAGGAGGAGGAGGAGGAGGAAGAGGAGGAGGAGGAGGAGGAGGAGGAGGAGGAGGAGGAGGAGGAACAGGAGGAGGAACAGGAGGAGGAGGAGGAAGAGAGAGGAAGGACGAGGAGGAAGGGGGATGAGGGGCGAGGAGGAACGACGCTTCACGCCAGTCCCCTAGTTCGCGCAACGTCAAAAAGAGGAGGAGGAGCGAGGAGGAGGAGGAGGAGGAGGAGGAGGAGGAGGAGGAGGAGGAGGAGGAGGAGGAGGAGGACGAAGAAAGGCTATAGCAAACGCCCAGGATGGCCCCGAAAACTGCCCGAGATGCCCCCATGTTCCATGGTGTCTCGAGATGGCCTGGAGACAGCCCAAGACGGTCCCAGGACGGCACAAGCTTGCTCCAAGGACGGCCCCAAGAAGATCCCGAAGAGGTCTCCGAGGAGGACAAATCGGAAAGACATGCGGGGGGGGCATGTTGTTCGAAAGCCCCCCCTGTTGAGCTTTGAAACGCCCGAGGCTGCCCAGGAGAACCCCAAGATGGCTCCAATACGGCACAAGAGGGAATCAGAAGGCCACCGTGGGCCGAAGAGAGCCTCAAGTCGGCCTGCAAGACCGCAGAAAGACCCAAGAGGGCCCCGAGACCCCCAAGACGGGCCCCAGGCAGCCCAAGAGCGCCCCAAGACGGCCCAAGAGGCCCCCAGACAGACAGGCCAAGAGGCACCAAGAGGTCCCCCAAAAAGTAAAAGAGGACCCGACAAGAGCGCCAAGCTTGCCCAGAGACGGGCTAAAAGAGTCGCTTCAGGAATCACATGTGAACAAGTTTGGCTGCCGTCGCCGGGAAGCCGGCGTCCCTACAAAGGGGCCCCCCGCGGATGTGGAAAGATTTGGCGATGGCTTCTCCCCAGTCCCCAATCTGTGCTTGCATATTGCAGGGGTCCTCGCGGGTGTGGAAAGATTTGGCGATGGCTTCTCCCCAGCCCCCAATCTGTGCTTGCATATTGCAGGGGTCCTCGCGGGTGTGGAAAGATTTGGCGATGGCTTCTCCCCAGCCCCCAGTCCGTGCTGGCATATCGCAGGGGCCCCCGCGGACGTGGAAAGGTTTGGCAATGGCTTCTCCCCAGTCCCCAGTCCGTGCTGGCATATCGCAGGGGCCCCTGCGGACGTGGAAAGGTTTGGCGATGGCTTCTCCCCAGTCCCCAGTCCGTGCTGGCATATTGCAGGGGTCCTCGCGGGTGTGGAAAGATGTGGCGATGGCTTCTCCCCACTTGGCATCGCTCGGACGTGTGCAGTTTCCCTTCGGCGAGGACCATCGAGGAGCATCCTTGATCATTTGGCGAAAAAACCACGCACGAAGCCAACAAAAAACACAGGGAATGGACGTCCGAGCGATGGCGAGCCCAGTCCCCAGTCCGTGCTGGCATATCGTAGGGGGCCCCCGCGGACGTGTTTACAGACCTGGCGATGGCTCGCCGCCGATGTCTCGGCATGCGGCCAGGTCTCCCCTGTTCTGGGCTGCGGGCTCCGCTTCCGGGCTCCGCACTGGTCTCGGCAGCGCTCGCCGCTGCCATTTCGGTAGGCGGCCAGGTTCCCACCACCTACCAGACCACCGCAACCCAACACGAAGGCCTCAATTCGCCCTCCATTCCAGTGTGGGGGGGGTCGGGGAACGTTGAAAAAACGCATGGAACCCGTATCCCCCCCCCGAACCCCCCGAACCCGGAATGCGGGATTCGGGTCTTCGGGTTGGGTTGGGGTGGTCTGGTAGGTAGGCAGGTTCCAGGTTCACTGCTCGGGGCTCGGGGCTCCCGTTTCCGGGATCGGGGGCCTCGGCGGGCGGTAGGGCTCCCAGCTCTGGGCTTCGGGTGCCCGCTTCCAGGCTCGGACTGGTCTCGGCGGGCGGCTGGGCTTCCGGGCTCCCAGTGTTTCATGCCAGGGTTCACTAAATTCCCTACCTAGGCTCTGCCTAGAAGGGTTCTTCTCTTTGCTTAAAGGGGCCGGGCAGTGTAACCCGCCTCGGGCGGTTCCCCCGGCATCCGCCCCGCGGTTCCCCCAGTTGCGCCCCCTGGGTTCACCCAGCTTAGCTTAGGTAGATGTAGGTGTAGATGTAGATGTAGATGTAGATGTAGATGTAGTTGTAGATGTGAGTCTCGCTGTTGATGTTGATGTAGATGTAGATGCAGGTGTAGATGTTCATGTAGCTGTCGGTGTAGATGTAGATGTTGCTTGCCTAGATGCTCCAACTCCTAGGTAGGGTCGCACTGGGATAATTCTAATTTATGTATTTTTACCACCGGGGACCCCCCCCTCCCCGAAATCGGACCCCCATCCGCCAGGGTGCGGTTTGCGAGTTGCTTTGTGGCGGCCTTTCTGGGGCCTTGGTTAGAGACAATGTCATAACTGTCGTCGTTTCGAGCGACACTGATATTCTCGATGTGTGCTCCACTGTATTAGAAGGAGTGACAGTGTCATGTGATTCGGTCGCATTGAGTGACAGTGCCATCCGTTTCCCGGGGGCGGGAGGGGCAGATATGACGAGAGGCAAACCGCACCCTTCGGAAACCGCACCCAATGTAGTCGCCGACCCCAGAATCCCAGGCCCCCGAGACCCTGATCCGCGGCCCCAGAGACCCCCCGGACGCCCCTGCAGGAGGCCCCCCAGCCGTTCCAGCGCTACTGGAAGCCATTGCTGGGCCTGGGCAACGGGCCCAAATCGGTCAGGAGGGCGGCCGAACGCTCCCCCGAGGGCCCCAAGAGGCCCCAGACACCCACCCGACGGAGACGACTCAAAGAAGACCTCCAAGAGGCGCCCGAAACGCAGAAAACATTGTTTTTGCCAAAGTTGTGTTGCATGATTTTGGGAATGCCCTGTTCTTCTGGGCGTCCGAGACCGCCTGGGAGGCTCAAAAGTCGCAACAAAACCATCCGAAAGGGCTTCCAGTCAGTGCAAGAGAGACCCCAGTCGGTACGACAGGGTTCCAAGATGGCCTCAGAGAGCCCCATGACGGCCCAAGATGGCCCCTAAGACGCCCTCCGAGGAAGCCCCCAGAGGCCCCCAGAAGACGCCCGGGAGGCTTCTAGAAAGCCTTAAGAAAGCCTGAAACATTTCCGTGAGGCACCCCGGGGCTCTCCAAGGAGTCTCCGCAAAAAGAGCTGAGGAGGATGGCATGGGGGAGAATTCGCAGGGTAGGGCGAGAATGAGGAAACATAAGCATGGAGGAAAACGAATAACATTATTATAGCGGCGATGCGGGAAAAAAAGCAACAAGGAGTTATCGCTAAAATATCTGTCTGACTTTCCTGCCATTCCGCCTGCGTACCAAATTTCGAGGACCAAGGTGTACGGCGTGAAGCGCCAATGCAGTTTTGTGTGTATGTGTGTATACATATATACAAAGAGAGAGAGAGAGAGAGAGAGAGAGAGAGAGAGAGAAAGAGAGAGAGAGAGAGAAACAAAAAAAGGGAGAGAGAGAGAGAGAGAGAGAGAGACGGAGAGGGAGAGAGAGAGAGAGAGAGAGAGAAAGAGAGAGAGAGAGAGAGAGAGAGAGAGAGAAAAAAAAAGAAACAAGTCCTCTTCCAATATTGGAAAAAGCCAGGGGGGCCGGAAAAGCTGTGACCCCCCAAAACCAGACCCCCCGGGAGCTGGAGCTTTTGGGGGCGGCCCCCCCGGGCCCGCCGCGCCTCCTGGGGCGCCTCGCCAGGCTTTGCCCGTGAGCTCAGAGCGATCAGAGGAGTGGTCGGCGAGGCGCGAGAGAGCCCCACGGCAGCGCAAGACGGCCTCCAGTCAGGAGGGGAAAACACATAGACACAATTAATCGTCGATTCCCAAGAGAAGATTGGAAAATATGGGAATCGGGGGGGAAGACAAAAACCCAGAAAATACTAGAATATGGGCAATATTTTTATTTGTGTGTATTTATTTGTGTGTCCCAGGGCCCCTTCATCCAGACGGCCCAAGAGGCCCTCAAGATGGCCCCCAAAGACCCCCACGAGGCCTTCAGGAAAGCCCCCGAGAGGTGAACATCTGTCCAGTCCGTTTCAGGGAACGCTCCTTTTCAGCATATTCGCTTGTTGTGTCGTAGCAGCATCCAAGGCGGCCCAAGAAGCTTGCGAGATCGCCCCAAGGCGGCCCAAGAGGCCCCCCAAGAGGGCTTCCAGCCGGGCCAAGAGGGCACCATAACTGCCCCAAGACGGCCCAAAAGAAGCTCACGAGGCCCCCAAAGGCTCCCAAGAGAGAGACCCACGAGGGCCATGGGAGGTCCCCAAGAGGGTTCCAGTTTTCCAGGGGAGTCCCACCCAAGGCAGCGCAAGACGGCCTCCAGACGGCCCAAGAGGCCCTCAAGATGGCCCCCAAAGACTCCCCAGGAGGCCTTCAGGCAAGCCCCCGAAAGGTGAACATCTGTCCAGTCCATTTTAGGAAACGCTCCTTTTTAGCATATTCGCTTGTTGTGTCGTAGCAACATCCAAGGCGGCCCAAGAAGCTTGCGAGATCGCCCCAAGGCGGCCCAAGAGGCCCCCAAGAGGGCTTCTAGCCGGGCCGAGAGGACCCCTAAGACTGCCCCAAGACGGCACAGAAGAAGCTCACGAGGCCCCCAAAGGCTCCCAAGAGAGAGACCCACGAGGGCCATGGGAGGTCCCCAAGAGGGTTCCAGTTTTCCAGGGGAGTCCCACCCAAGGTAGCGCAAGGCGGCCTCCAGGCGGCCCAAGAGGCCCTCAAGATGGCCCAAGAGTCACCAAAGACGCCCCAAGAAGCCGTCAGGAGAGCCCCCAAGAGGCGAACATCTACCCATTCCATGAGGAAAACGTGCATGTTTAGCATATTCGCTTTTGTGTCGTAGCAGCATCCAAGGCGGCCCAAGAAGCTTGCGAGATCGCCCCAAGGCGGCCCAAGAGGCCCCCCAAGAGGGCTTCCAGCCGGGCCAAGAGGGCACCATAACTGCCCCAAGACGGCCCAAAAGAAGCTCAC